CCCCACCCGCATATATATAAACTAAAAATCCTAATGCCTCCTCCTCTCGACTCTTTCGCGTCTCTGCTCTCTAGCCTCGCTTGACTCTCTCACCTCTATGCTCTTTGGCCACTCTCGCCTCTCTGCTGTGACCTTAGCAGGCTAGCACCCCACTGCCTCCTCATCTTCGAGTCTCAATGTCCCAAATTCTCTCTCTCTCTCTCTCTCTCTCTCTCTCTCACACACACACACACAGTTGACTAGTGGTTATGTTTTTCAATCCAGATCAAGAAAGGGGTCCGTGATTTCTGAGATTAGGGCACTGTGTTATTTTTATTTATGAGTTCTTCATATTTAATTTTTATCCTTAAATTTTTTTATCTCAGAAATAATTGCAAAGAAAATTGAAATTGCTCTCGAGTGAAGAGAGGTGAATTACACTAGCAAGAAAGATGGTATTTAGCTTTTACATATGTTTTTAGTAATTATAAGATTATTTGTGTGGTATAATTTATAACATTTTTTTGTCGTAGATGTTTGAGTTGCTAAAACATCGACTTATTTTTTGTGCAGGTTACATGATTTTTGATGATGTATTGGAGCAGTTATGATTTTTTTATGTGTTTCATGTGGTTTAAAGCTAAAATAGTTGTTATTATATTTGTATAACAATTATGATGTATTGATATTTATGACTTAAGCTTTCTTGTGTTTTGTTGTAATTGCTATTGTAATTGTTTTAGACTTTAGTGTTATTTGGTTTATTGTGTTGTTAAATTGGTGTATGTTATTTAATTGAATTGTTAAAATAATTCAAAAATTAATAACTACAAAAATGTGTTCATCATATTTCTTACCCGACTTCCTACTCCATTAATTTGGACAAAATTCGGGTAAGAAAATTCGAGTAAGCCAAGAAAAAAAATTTCGCAACGAATCAAGTAAGAGGATGAATGATTATATTTTCTATTTGTAGGGTAAGATGAACACCCCTAACTGATGGTATTGATCTAACTATATGAAGAAATCCTCATGGTCTTATTACATGCAGGCACGGGCCATCAGATTTGGTGGATTGAACCTCAATCACATTATGACTACATACATTGGTGACATTGGTATTTGCCAACTATAAGCACACAATGGTATCGTCACTATATAAACAGATTCACCCATAGATAAAAAAAAAAAGAATCCCCAAAAAACCCAAATATCCCGTGGCAATAAACAGAAAAAATAATGAGTGTTGGATGAAGAACTTTTCATGGTGCATCAATTACTTTATTAACAATAAAATCATGCAATCATAGGGTAATGAAACAGGAAAATCATAGCCTATTGATCCATGGGATAACCCTCGAACCTTAGCAACAAAGAATTAAACCCAAATGCACCGAAAAAAATAAGAATCAAACACAACAACGAATTTTTTTTGGTTGAATCAATAAAGCAAGAAAGAGTAAAATCCAAAAAGCACCAAATCTATGGGAAAAACTTGGGTAAATCCTAGATCTATGTGATAGTTGCTTGATCATTTTCCCTAGTCTCCAACCCTCGAACCTGGATTATGTGTATATGGCTTATAGAAATTGGTGAGTGTCACTCTCCCTCAAGTTCAATGCAAGAAATGAGAAAAAACGTGTGTGGATGAAAAAAAAACACGTGTGTGTATGTGTGTGCAACAATACTCCCCAAGCATAGAAAAACTTTCAATGTTGTGTTTTAATTGGAATGAGTATTCCAAGGTCGTCTCCTCAAGGGAGGAAAGGTCTGTGTTTTGAAGGTTGATTTGTGCAAAGTGAAAATTGGAAAATCTTTGTGATTTGAAGTTTGGTGGTTTGTGATTTGTAAAATATTTAAGAAAATAAGGTTGGCTAATCTATAAAGGTTATTCCAATGAAAATGTCAAATTGATTCAATCCATCCAAAAAATGGAATCTCAGTGTTTGATTGATTCGTAAGAAGTAAAGGATTAACGTGGTTGTGTTGGACAAAAGTATACTTCGTGATAAGTCTACAGTGTATCAAGAGCCACAACCACACCCACACTCAACCTAGTTAAAACCAAACACTTTACACTACGAGGAAGAATGAAAGAGAATCGATCTCAATACCCAAGAGGAAACTCCTCTTGGATTAGCCAACTAAAAGTTTAGCTACTCGTAATAAAGGTAAGAACAAACGTGATGTAAAGAGACATGGTAGTGACATCAAACATGAAACTTGTATTGGTACAAGAAAATGTTTAAACTACAAAAGCAAAGTCATTCATAACCAAAATACAAAGCTTGAAGAGAAAATACCCAAATGTAAAAATGGAAATACAAGAACACTTAGCTAAGTTTGGGTACAACTTGAATAAAAGAGATTAGAGCGTAAGAAATAAGGATTACAAGTAAAATAGAGCTTACTACAATGAAAATGATAAAAGAAATGTAAAAACCCAACTTCTTTATCTATAACTTCATCTTCAACTTTGGAGCTTCTCTCTCTAAAAACATATCAAATTTGAATAATGGTGTAAAAACTTTCCCAATTTCATCCATACTCTCTCCCTTAGCTTATGTGGCTGAATTGGAATGATTGGCGAGAGGCAGTCCACTTGAATAAGCAATTTCAATTCAAGCATGGCCCTCCCATGCTTTTCCAACCACCTCTCTTCTCCCTCTTTCCTCTCTCCTCTCTTTTACTTCAAATCTGACTTTAGGGATTAGGAGAGCATCATGGGTGTCAAACATGTCAGGGTATGGTTTAAATGACAAGAGGTGGGCCCCCGGAGTTGGTGGAGTCGTGTGAAAAAGGTGTCTAGTAGATCTGGGCATGTTCTACCGGTAGAACGTAGAAAACCTATCGATAGATTTTTTTCAGTAAGATTTTCTGCCGGTAGGTTTTTGCATGTTAAAGGTAGACAATTTCTAGTGGGCTTTTCTATCGGTAGGTCTTGGGACTTCTACTAGTAGGTCTTGAATGACTTCTACAGGTAGGTCTTGAATGTCTTCTATCGATAGGTTTTGTCATGCCTTGGGATTTTCTTGGTTATTTGAGGTCCCGAGCCATCTGTTAAGTAGTCTCTTCTTCCACATTGACTTTGAGCACTTGATGGGATGCTTTATATATGACCGTACCTGCTTTTTACCTACAATCACACAAATCTTCATTAATTATAAATTTGAACCATTTTCCCCAATTTTCACCACAAAACAAGTAAAATGGTGCAATAGAGAAACATGATATGCAATATTCTATATTTATCAATAGTAGGTTATGACTAACACTGGTGAGTGAATTGTATCATAGATCTACACACAAATTCAAAGGAAAAATGGCGGGTTTGCATAAAATCGATTTTATGCACAGATTCAAACCATAGAGAGTTCAAAACACAATAAAATGCCAATATCCAAACAACATAGAGCTAATTCAAATAAAACATTGAAGATCTAACAATGATTTTAACATAATCCAAGAAAAATCAAGAACAAAGAAAACCCTAGATCAAAATTTCGGATAAGAACATAAAAGGTTTGTGATAAACAAATTGAACCTCTTTGTTGCAAACAACATCTGATTTGTTGTGTTCTTATTGGGTTTGCTGACAGATTCATTCTCTTCTTCATATAAAGGGACCTTGTAAGATTTCGATGGAGGAGAGAAGTCATGGGTCGTTCAAAGTGAGATAAGAAAAAAGGCTGAAAACTGCCTTTTTATATGTGCACACAAATGGTATAAATTGTGTTGTTAGTGAGAGTTGAAAGCGAGACCTCATTAATTGTGGCCGCGTGTTTCTGTTTTTTTCCTTATGACTTTTTAACGTTTTCAAAAATGGGACCAATTTTTAAAGCAATTACAATAAAAAAAAAACAGTTATCAAATGAGTTTTTTTTTCCTCATTTTCTCCAAATGTCAAAATAAAATCATTACCAAAAGAGCCTAAAGTTGCTTGTTTTTTTAAGGGAGAATTACATCCAGACCTTTTAAAGTTTGTCACTTAATCATTCAGATCCCCTAATATTTAAAATATTACACACAGACCCCGTAAGGTTTATTCACGCGTAATACTTAGACTAATGTTGTAAATATATTCGTTAATAAATTACATTTAGACTACCCTAAAGTTTGTGAGTATATAATACTTAGACCTTTTAAGTTTAAAATATTATAATTAGACCAAAAATATTATAATCAAATATAAAATATAAAATATTTTAAATTTTACAACCAAAATTCATGTTCTATTGTATCATTCATTAAAATAAAATTTAAATTTAAATTTAAATTTTTTTTAAAAAAATCGTAATTAGTATACAATTATACTATCATTTGGAATAAAACTAAAAAATGAAACAATTGGTCTAAGTCATTCATAATAGAACGTGAATTTTACATCTAAAATTCATGTTCTATTATGTCATTTATTGAAATAAAATCAAAAACAAAAATTTATTTTTTACAAAAAAAACATAGTTAGTATATATTTATGCTGTCTATTAGATCAAAACTAAAAGATTAAACAATTAGTCAAACTTTAATGAACACAATATCTTTTAAATTTAATTGAGGTAGTTTGGTATTTTAATTTGATCGTTTAAAAGACTAAATTAAATTATAATAGACAAAATAATTGTATATTAATTACAATTGTTTAAGAAAAAATTGAATTTTTATTTTTGATTTTATTTCAATAAATAATACAATAGAATATAAATTTTAGTTGTAAAATTTAAAATATTTAATAATTTATATTTGATTGAAATATTTTTATTCTAATTATAATATTTTAAACTTAAATGATCTAAGTATTATATAACTACAAATTTTAGGGGACTCTAAGTATAATTTATTAACTAATATATTTAAAACAAGAATCTAGGTGTTACGCGTGGATAAACTTTAAAGAATTTATGTGTAATATTTTAAATATTAAAAAATTTAAATAATTAAGTGACAAATCTTGTAAGTAATTCTCCCTTTTTTTTTAACCACAACAATTCGTAAAAGCTGCATTTAGCATGACATGACCAACACATCGAAAGCAAAAGCGTTCTGCAGAGGCCATCCGCCATTGATCTGAAGCATCAATGATAACCCCTTTATACAGAACAATGATTGAATCATCTGGCAATGTTAAATGCAGGAAGATGTCCACCAACTCCATAAACACACAACAGACTCCCACAATATATTCAGCTATCTCCCGATGTCCTTCTCTAACCTTATTCGCTGCACAAAATCCATTGTCAGAGGCAGAGCAGTCCATGCGAAGCTCATCACATCTGGATTCCACTCAGACATTTATACAAACAATCATGTGCTCAATATGTACTTAAAATTCGACTGCATGGACGACGCTCGTAAACTGCTTGATCAAATGCCTGAACGAAACACGATTTCATGGACCACTCTGATATCTTCGTATTCGCAATTGGGTCTACCAGAAGACGCGTTAGATTGTTTCAGAAAAATGGTAGAGGATGGTGTTGACCCAAATCATTACACGTATGTGGGTGCTATAACGGCTTGCGCTAGCTTAGGTGTTGCAAGAACTGGGAAAGAAATTCATGGAAAGATTTATAGGACTGCGGAGGATGTAAATAGTTTTGTTAGTAACTGTTTGGTGAACTTTTATGGGAAATGTGGGTTGTTGAAATCGGCTCGTTTTGTGTTTGATGCAATTTTGGAGCCCAATTTGGTTTCTTGGACTTCGCTTCTTTCATGTTATTCCCAGTGTGGAGAAAATGTGGAGGGACTGAGGATTTTCTTGCAGTCTTTGAGAGCGGGACTGAAAGGAAACGAGTTTTCCTGCGCGAGTATATTGGGCACTTGTGCCGCATTGGGAAATCTGGAAGTTGGGATGCAAGTGCATTGTCATGCTATCAAATGTGGAATTAGACTTGACCAATTTGTTGTGACTGGATTGATTGACTTTTATGTCAAGTGTGGTAAAATAGATTTAGCATATGATGCTTTTTTAGAGGTGGACAATCCGCATGTATCGGCTTGGACTGCGGTGATAGGAGGGTGTGTTCAACAAGGGAAGGATAGAGAGGCGACTGATCTTTTCTGTAAAATACACTCTTCGGGTATCAAACCAAGTGAGAGAACATTCTCATCTGTCCTGGGAGCCTTTTCTGGTATAATGGAAACTGAAGCTGGGAAACAACTCCACTCTTTGATTCTAAAATATGGATTTCATTCATTTACATTTGTTGGCAATGCAGTACTGGATTTTTACTCAAAAAGTGGGCTTCTCGATGAATCTTTGAGAACATTTGAAGAAATGGATGAACAAGATGTTGTTAGTTGGAATGCACTGATATCTGGACGTGTAACTGCAGGTAATTATCAGGAGGCCATTGAAATTCTTCGTAGGATGTTGTTTGAAGGGTTTGATCCTAATATTTACACATACTCCATCATTTTAAGCATATGTGGGGATCGTCCGGCTATTGAATGGGGCAAGCAAACCCATTGCTGCATTATGAAACCTGGGTTTGTCTCCAATATGGTCGTTGGAAGTGCACTCATTGACATGTATGCTAAGTGTGGACGGTTGGGTGATGCTCGAATAGTTTTTGATACTCTGCCATCAAAGAACATTGTTGCTTGGAATACCATGCTTGTGGGATATGCTCAACATGGATATGGGAAAGAGGCTTTAGATATCTATGATTTGATGCAAAAAAATGGCATGCAACCTAATGATATTACATTTGTGGGAGTATTGTCTGCGTGTGGGCATGTGGGACTCTTAGAGGAGGGACTAAGCCACTTCAGTTCCATGACTAAGGACTATGGAATTGCCCCAGGGACTGACCACTTAGCTTGTATGGTCAGTCTCTTTGCCCGTAAAGGACAAATGAAACTAGCTTATGATTTCATAAGGAGTTTTCCTGTGAAACCGGATAAGGTGGTTTGGCGTTGTCTTTTGTCAAGTTGCAAAACTCACAAAAACTTGGCTCTAGGAAAATATGCTGCTGAAAAGATTTTGAGTATTGATCCAGATGATACCTCAGCCCATATCATGCTATCAAATATGTATGCACAGTCAAAGATGTGGAATGAATTAGCACAAGTCAGAAAACTAATGAAGGGGAAGGAATTGAAAAAGGATACCGGTTATAGTTGGACTGAATTGAAGAATGAGATATATTATTTTTCTGCTGGTCATAGTGTGCATTTTCAGGAAAAAAGTTTGCTCGAAGTTTTGGGTGGGTTAACGGCTCAATTGTTTGATGCAGGATATGTACCTGATGCCATATTCTGCTCACTTTATTTGGAATAAATTTGCCTAATAATATTTTTTGCGATAAACCTCGCACTTTAATTGAATTGTTCTTTATTTGATATAAGCCAAGTCATCCACATATGAGCACAGAAGGAATTCGCATGCGGCTGACAATCTTTAAATCTATGGTCACATCACCTTACAAAGATTTGTGAATTTAGTGAGACCAGGGGAGAATTGGGAACCTGCTAGTGTGGGGGAATCCGTAGGGGACAGGCTAGCAAACTCTAGGGCTTGTACCCTTAAGTTCTGAGGGTAATCTGCAACACATCCAATTCTTGGGCCAGCTCCTGTTGACCATTTCAATGAAAGTTGGTGCCCTAATTGGTTTGAGCTTGATATCTTCTTGGAATTGATTCTCTGCAGTATTTCATTTGTAGGATCTCTCTTCCTCGGGCTCTGGAGATTACTAGATAATGCCCTTCTGTAACTACCTTTTCTTTCAGTCTTAGCAAGTTTAATTGGTTCGGAGTATTGCATTTTCTCAATTCCACTAGAAAGTTGAAGCTCGGTATGTTCAGAATTAGTTGAGAATCCAATCTTATTACCTTCTTGATCATGTCTGCTGATATAGGTCTGAGAATCATCAGCATGGGAAATTACCTGACAAAAAGAAAGAGAACTCAGATAATGTTTCTCATTGAGGTATGCTATCAAACAAATATCAAATATGCTGCATCTAGATTCTGGATTATGACTAAATTTGAGCAGCGACATGAAATAATTTGAGGTCATTCACAGCCTCAAGTACCCGGAGATCAAGAACAGGTTCTTCTGTGGCCCGAATGTAATTTAATTGCATATGTTTTGACATGAAAATGGCATGTTGAGGTGCACATTTTTTAGAGTGTAACGAGTTGTTTTTTAGAGTGTAACAATTGAGTTGTATACCTCAACTTCTTCAAGATGTACTCCATTGTCCTTGAGGAAATCTAAGAAGCTCCCGAGGTTCTTGTCAGTGGGACGATAATGTCCGCTAGATGCTGATACTGACTGAAATGGAGTTACACATTCAAAGTTCAGTTGCTAATTTTGAAGCATCTTCATCCAATTATATTTTATAATTACCTTGACATGCCATGTCCACCATATGCAGACACATACTGGTCAGATGTTGTGGGTATGTTCTATTTCTTCTTGTAATTGAATATGATGAAATGAATAGTTCATATACTTTTACTCCATCACATCCCAGAAAGTTATGTCCTTGTTTCATATGATCTGCAATTGAACAAGCTTTTTCTTTTATCCTAGTAGAACTGTATATCTGGTATGGACACCTTTATGTGTTTGTAAATACACACACTCTTTACTACATCTTTATATCCTATATGAGGATCTTTATCGCACAGGGGTTTTACTACACCAAAGAAGAGAATTTAGTCTGACAAGTAGCTTCGTGGAATGTTGCATAAACAACCTGCATGATCTTGATTTCAGTACTTCTCAACCCATGTGGAGTTACGACCCAATAATTAAAGGATACGTGAGAAAACTGCGTTGACATCTACAAATTACTTTGAAATCATCTAAAAGCGTCTACAAGGTTCCATAGCTGTCTCCCAGTGATTGAAGGTGAGCAATTTTCCTTTTATAACGAAAGACTAAAGAGTAATTACAAAATCTGTTGTCACAGATACCAGTGGGACTGAGCATCTTAATTTGCTTCTAGTTTGCCAACTTTGTGAAAAATTCTCTCTACAGAATGTGATTGGTTACACTTGACTGCACACTTTCCAAACTGAAAAGTTCCTATAATTCAACTTGGCAAAGTGGTTACATGCTTGTGTGATCCAATACCTTTGATGTTTAAGAGCAAATAGTGTCAATTCGAATCCTCTCTGAAAGTTAATAGCGGATTAAAATAGGAGCAAACTTTTGATCTAAAAAGTGACTAACAACTCATATGTAATAGATAGCTGTTTACTTTAGTTTTTTTTTCATTTCTATTTACAAATAAAAGAAACAGTCTCTCTCTGTTTCTATACTTGTGTAATGAAGATTTTTGGCTCCTTTCGTGAGCAGTAATTATTCCATCATCTTTTGTTTGTTTTTTGGTGGGTGGGGGTTGGGTTTTGGGTGTTGGGTGTTGGGTTATTCTACTATTTTTTCATGGTATTTGCAGAATCACTAGGTGTCACAAATGTATACTGTTAGCTTTATACCTTGAGTTTTCCATCCTTTGCTTTAAGTTGTCCAGCGGCTAGAGTGGCACCTCCTGCAAGGAAGCTGGAATGATGAAATGATCCCTTCCTTTTCTGAACAAACGAAGAATGAACACTAATTATATGCTATATGAAGGGGAATCCCTAGAAACAGGTGAACATTGCCATTCTAAGGCCATTCTGTTATGGGAGGGTAAATTTATCATACCTCCCCAGCCTACAATTTTTTGAAGTACTCATCACAAATATCCATTTTGAGCCTTGGCCTCTTTGAGTTGTATCAAGAAGATCTCCACTTTCTTTGTGCACCATTGTGCCTCCAGCTATAAAGTACTCAAACTGGTCCCTTTCTTGCTTATTTCAGCAATATTTGCAGTGAAACAAAAAAAAAAAAAAAAGGTTTGGGACATTCTGTTAGAGTTGACATGATGACGGTGCAATTGAAGCATGATGAAGATGGTGCAATTGAAGCATTATAAAGATGGTGCAAATGAATTGCATTTTCATTTAGATCCAGAAAATTGGAAACAGAAACGATTGCTGTTATTGGCTCTTCGAAATCAACTTGAGGCTCACGAAGTTTTCTTTCAGTAGTAAGCATTGCACACTTTCTAGTCTAGATCGGAGTCATTACCGATATCCAAACCTACAGTCATTCTATGATGTAACTGATCTTGTGTGTAATCTTATGCATGCAAAGGCTAACCAACAGGAATGTTAGGAACTTCCTTACGGATTGGAAATAAGGGCCTATTGTGATCTCTGAAAATGAAAATGGAGTTATCTCATTTTAATGGCCATATCCTTTGAAGTGAAAATCTATGCTATTGACATTGCTCCTATTACAGAAATTTGAGACTTGTAGCATCCTCATCCCATAAATTCTTTAATGAATATATTTGTTTATGAATGATTCAATACAGAAAAATGAATGCACTCCTTTCAAGATGCCAATAAATACCCTGGAAATTTAATATGCACACCGCCGTCATGTCTAATGAAACCTTAGTGTGTTGAATAAAACTGTGTGCTTATGATTGTGAGTTGGAGCACTGATCTAAATTATTTAGTTTGGAGCATTACAGGTCCAAGGTATCTGATGCATTCTTGCCGAAGCTTTGATCTTGGGCATTCTTCCAGATCAACCTCTTTGCCATCTCCAATGTCCAACCTGTACAAGGTACATATGACCACGATTCAGCAATGATTTGGTGTACTTTACAATAGCATAACTGACTGTTACATGAGTATTATGTAAAGTCGTAATGAAATTACAGTTTGAAATTTAATTTTTTTAATCTGTGTATCTTTGCATGAGATATTTGTGGTATTATGTAATTGGATATTTATCGATTGTATACAGGCCCTACATTATTCTAATGGCTTGCAAGCGAACATTTAGAATTACAATAGTGGTCCACGTGCCATGCAATTTTGATTTAGAAAAGTCTGTTTATAATTGACACAAGATTTTATAAACATAATTTTTTAACTTCATTTTTACTTTAACTTATGTTCATCTAAAATGGTAGAGAACGTGACATGCATTCATCACATTGTTTAACATGCATTCATCACATCTGTGATGTGCTGTGTCAATTTTTTTTATGGTTGTCACTGTTTGGACTGAATTGTAGCTATGTTGATATTTGGATAGCAAAATAGATAAACTAGCAAGTTAGGGACTAAAGTGAGAATCGATGTAAACCTTGCTGGTGTAAACTGCAATTAACCCTATTTGTTAAAGAATAGATGTTTAGTAGAGTGCATAGAACAGTCGGTCAGAGGCTTACAGCTTCAATCCAATGTTGAAAAGCTAATTTCTGAGCCTTATCATTTCTACCTAAGCCCTTTCCAACCTACCAAAAAAATTGTCAAAAATTTACAACACACCATAATTAATTTTTCACTTCAAAATAGAAGATCAACCATCCACTCTGAATAAATATAGCAAAGACAGAAGATATATATGTTAACTAATCTACAAAACACATTTGTCCTTGAATGGTGTTGTTACCACGGGCCTTTGTGGTTCGGTGGTATCAGCTCCTACCACCTCACCCCAACAATTTGGGCTGATCAGGCATCGAGTCCCAGAGAGACAGTTGAGATGGGTTTGGAAAACATGGGGCACCCAACTATGGGTTGGGTGCTTGGGTTGGGGAAAGACACACAAACACACACACTCTATTACCATATGTAGGCAGAGCCACATCAGGAAACATGCATACCCTTGAAGCATTTAGCCGTATCCTACTCCATCTTGATGCTGCCGTCTCAGGTTTCAGGAAATTGAAGAATGATACCGTGCTATGATTCAATTGTGCATAATCCATAGCTTGCCACCTTCATGTAATTCAGTATACTTATTCAAATCATTTTTGTCATAATATAGGCCTGTACTACATAAACCAAAATGGTGCTACTGCCTACCAGAGCTCTTCAGCAACCACCACTGAATCTGCTAGCCTGCGCCGGGTGCGATAACTCCTATAAACCTTCTGCAATTTCACTGCAGCAGTAGTTGTTTTAGAGCCAGCGCTTTCTGCCAAAGGTTCCACATCAGAGGTTGAAAGGGCTTGGCTTTCAAGCTCCATTTTATGTAAATTGCAAGCCTCTTTCTCTAGGCATATATGTAAAAGTCCACCAATAATGCTTACATTATTGTGTTTATTGTCAAAGGTCCGCATTCAAACCCCCCCCCCCCCCCCCGGCATATAGTAGGGTCTGCGAAAGAGAAGTCATTGATAGTCTTACTCTCATTTTGGAGGCGGATTCTCCGAACTTGAACCCGGGTGAGTAGATGAGCCCTTCCCGTTATTGATGATTAGATTCGAAATTAATGCGGGTGATTTAATGGGTGGTACAATACACCAGCTCATGACTGCATTGAAAGCTAACCACTTTTATTTGGATAACCTGTTTGGCACAGGTGGAAGGGGAGAACGAAGTTAGTGGTGTGCCCAGCTACTCCACTCTTGCACAGCATGTCATGTCAGAGAGCACTGCATCAAAAAAGTAACTCACACTTCTGAGTTTCTGCATGGAGAAATGCATACAAGTGTACCATGTATGTAATGAAGCTACAGATATTTCATTATCGATGGTGCTGAAGTGGAAAATTGCCCATCAAAAAGTTTGAAAACTCTCATTTTCGTTTAAAAGCTTAAATTGCTAGAGATGATATTGTAACCTAAGTTTAAATGCACTTTGACACATCCCTTTATATACAGGATAATTGTGCCAAATACGTGAACTCTTATTTTTAAAATAGTGTTGATAGATGAGATTTTGACGCAGGACCTCCTATTTTGATATAATTCAAAAAGTTTAAGCCACCAAAACTTGGAGGGGTAAATAGAAGACCAAATAATAAAACAAGTGCACTTTTGGCACAAATAAAAGGACAATCAATTGACAAATCACAAACAGAAAATTAAGGAAGCTGTTGGGTGTCTCTCCTTATGCCTTCTCATTAACACCCAACTCAAATTAAAGATATGTGCATGCGTACATTGAAAGAGTGTAGTACAAACCAAGAATTGAAGACCTCGTCTTCTAAGTTGCCTAACCGGTCTTACACTTTGAGTGAAAAAAAAATTTGTAGAAAACATTGAGAGTGGACAGCATCTTTTGTGAGAGAAAAGTGGAAGACAACAGTTCATTTCTTGCTCTTGTTCAAGACTCATTTCTACTCAGATCGAGCTGAAAATTCAGGGACATATTCCTCACTTCCACAGCCGGTTTCTATTGTTTCAGGTCATCAATCGGACTCTTCTACAACTGATTTTGAATGACAAAAGTTCGGTCACTTCGATGAGATCTTTCTAGTTGCTTTTGTGTTGAAATTCACCTAAGGGTGAATTTTTTATGTTTGGGAGTCAATAAGATATTTTTCTCTTGATTTTTGACATCTCTAGTTGTGACTAGAAGACTTGTAATCCTATTTTCGATGATAGTGGAGAGATTGGACCAAATTTTGTCCCGTGATTTTTTCCCTTCTCCTTGAAGGGATTTCACATTAAAGAATTCTTGTGTTTCTTGTTGTTGGTTTGGTTTGCTTTGCTTATTATGCTTAATTGTGGTTTTGGTTATTCTCTATTGATTTGCACATAGAGCGAAAGTCACTAGGTTTCCCAACAAGTGTTATTAGAGCACAGGTTGGCTTCGGTTTATTTCTTGTGTAAATCATGGAAGGTAATGTGAGGCATATGGTTAGCTTAATGGAACCAATTGGGTGACATGGAAGACTAAAATGGAAGACCCTTTGTATTATAAAGATCTTTATGGACCCATAGAAGGTGAAAAAGACCGACCCCTAGGTATGATAGATGGTGAGTGGACCAAGCTTAATCGAAAGGCCGTCAGATTTATTCGTCAATGGATTGATGATAGTGTTTTCCACCATGTCTCTACCGAAAATTTAGCACACTCTCTTTGGCAAAAATTAGAGTCTTTATGAGAGGAAAACGGCAGTTAACAAGACTTTTTTGTTTTGAAAGCTTGTTAATCTAAAGTATAAAGAGGAAAGCTCCATTGCGGAACATTTGAATGAAATGAAAAGCATTGTAAATCAACTTTCCTCCATGAAGATTCTTTTTGATGATGAGTTGCAAGCTTTGTTGCTTCTTAGTTCCTTGTCGGAAAGTTGGGAGACCTTGGTAGTGACGGTTAGTAACTCCACCCCGATGGAATTGTTACTATGAGTCAAGTGACTAGTAGCTTGCTAGTTGAAGAGACAAGAAGGAAGTCATTTGGTTCTTCTCATTCCGAGTAGAACACCACACAACCATGATAAATTATGGGAAGCTTCAAGTTCAAGGAAAAATATAGTGCCATTATTGCCACAAGAAAGGGCACATAAAGAAAAAGTGTAGAAAACTCAAGAGAGATCAAAAGAAAGAAAAAGATGATGAAAAGAAGCAAGAAGACACTACCACAATCACTTCCAATGGTGACATCATTGTTGTGCATGATGACGGCTTTGTTAATTTCATGAGTCAAGAGAGTAGTTGGGTGATTGATTCTAGTGCTTCATTTCATGTCACTTTACGAGCTAATTTCTTCACATCTTACACATAAGGAGATTTTGGAATTATTCGAATGGGAAATGTGGGCTTATTTAAAATCATGGGTGTTGAAAATATTTGCTTGGAGACAAATAATAGTTGCAAGTTTTTTCTTAAAGATGTGAGGCATGTCCTGGACATTCAGCTTAATTTGATCTCCATGGGAAAGCTTGATGATGAGGGCTACAACAACCACTCTGGCGATGAAAAATGGAAGCTTACTAAAGGATCTTTGATTGTGGCTAAAGGGAAGAAAAACTCTACTCTTTACTCAATGGAAGCAAAAATTAGCAAAAGTGAAGTTAATGCACTTATAAATGATTCCTCCACTGAGCTATGGCATAAACGGCTCGGACATATGAGTGAAAAGGGATTGCAAATTCTTTCCAAGAAGCAGCTCCTACTGGATATGAAAGGTACACCTTTCAAAACACATGTTCATTGCTTGCCTGGTAAACAATATCGAGTTATTTTTCATAGGAACTTTGCATCTAGAAAGACCAATGTTTTGGATTTGATATATCGGATGTGTGTGGTCCGATGAAAGTTAGAACACTTGGTGGTGCACTCTACTTTGTTACCTTTATCGATGATCATTCAAGAAAGTTGTGGGCATATGCGTTGAAGAGCAAATATCAAGTGCTAGAAGTGTTTAAACATTTTCATGTCAATATGGAAAGAGAAACGGGGAGAAAATTGAAATGCATTCGCACGGACAAGGGTGGTGCGTACCTAGGACCATTTGATGGTTATTTTGATACTCATGGGATTAGACATGAGAGGACGGTTTGCAAGACTCCTTGTGAAGACCCTGGTCCATTACCGGACCCCTGTCTTCCAAGGGCATTCCTCCCATTACCGGGATATCCCGCCCTCCACCAAAGGATTTCGGCTAACCTGCAGGACTCGCCCCACAGTAGCCTTTACCTCTGTCCCACATCGGGGAAAGAGTCGTCTCCCCACTCCCATATAAGCCGAAGCACAATATGGAAGCAGTACCCATCTAGCACTAGTGCTATTTGGGTACTGCTTCCATATTGTGCTTCGGCTTATATGGGAGTGGGGAGACGACTCTTTCCCCGATGTGGGACAGAGGTAAAGGCTACTGTGGGGCGAGTCCTACAGGTTAGCCGAAATCCTTTGGTGGAGGGCGGGATATCCCGGTAATGGGAGGAATGCCCTTGGAAGACAGGGGTCCGGTAATGGACCAGGGTCTTCACACAAAAGGCGCATTTTATGTGAAGACCCTGGTCCATTACCGGACCCCTGTCTTCCAAGGGTTAACCTCCCATTACCGGGATATCACCACCCTCCACCAAAGGATTTCGGCTAACCTGTGGGTCAAACCCCCACAGTAGCCTTTACCTCCGTCCCACATCGGGGAAGGAGTCGTCTCCCCACCCCCATATAAGCCGAAGCACCATATGAGAGCAGTACCCAAGTAGCACACTGTGGTACTTGGGTACTGCTCTCATATGGTGCTTCGGCTTATATGGGGGTGGGGAGACGACTCTTTCCCCGATGTGGGACAGAGGTAAAGGCTACTGTGGGGGTTTGCCCCGCAGGTTAGCCGAAATCCTTTGGTGGAGAGCGGGATATCCCGGTAATGGGAGGAATGCTCTTGGAAGACAGGGGTCCGGTAATGGACCAGGGTCTTCACATAAAAGGCGCCTTTTGTGTGAAGACCCTGGTCCATTACCGGACCCCTGTCTTCCAAGGGCATTCCTCCCATTACCGGGATATCCCGCCCTCCACCAAAGGATTTCGGCTAACCTGCAGGACTCGCCCCACAGTAGCCTTTACCTCTGTCCCACATCGGGGAAAGAGTCGTCTCCCCACTCCCATATAAGCCGAAGCACAATATGGAAGCAGTACCCATCTAGCACTAGTGCTATTTGGGTACTGCTTCCATATAGTGCTTCGGCTTATATGGGAGTGGGGAGACGACTCTTTCCCCGATGTGGGACAGAGGTAAAGGCTACTGTGGGGCGAGTCTTGCAGGTTAGCCGAAATCCTTTGGTGGAGAGCGGGATATCCCGGTAATGGGAGGAATGCCCTTGGAAGACAGGGGTCCGGTAATGGACCAGGGTCTTCACTGGTCCATTACCGGACCCCTGTCTTCCAAGGGCATTCCTCCCATTACCGGGATATCCCGCCCTCCACCAAAGGATTTCGGCTAACCTGCGGGGCAAACCCCCACAGTAGCCTTTACCTCTGTCCCACATCGGGGAAAGAGTCGTCTCCCCACCCCCATATAAGCCGAAGCACCATATGAGAGCAGTACCCAAGTACCACAGTGTGCTACTTGGGTACTGCTCTCATATGGTGCTTCGGCTTATATGGGGGTGGGGAGACGACTCTTTCCCCGATGTGGGACAGAGGTAAAGGCTACTGTGGGGGTTTGCCCCGCAGGTTAGCCGAAATCCTTTGGTGGAGAGCGGGATATCCCGGTAATGGGAGGAATGCTCTTGGAAGACAGGGGTCCGGTAATGGACCAGGGTCTTCACATAAAAGGCGCCTTTTATGTGAAGACCCTGGTCCATTACCGGACCCCTGTCTTCCAAGAGCATTCC